ATTTTTTGTGTTGTTATCGTGGATTAATTGTCGGGGGATCACAAGAGATCAACGAGCCCCGAAAGACCAACCGGGACGAAGCCCGGAGGCGCGCACGGACACGCGCGGTTAAAAATAAATAAAATTCCGACAACCGGCGGCGACGGCGACGACGACGGCGGGGTTTTGGCGGTGGAGAGGTTTACTTGGTGTCCAAGCAGTACAAGATCTACAAGGATTCTATTGCAGTGGGAGTTCCAGTTGAACAGAGAAAGAATATTCAAGGTTTCCTTATTTATGTGAACTCAATATTTAATGGCCATAATAGTGGATTTAGTTATTTATTTATTTAAATTTATTATGCCATTATTTATTTATTTATTTATTTATTTATGCATGTTAATTAATTATTATACTTGCATTGAATTAATTTAGAATTGCTTATTTATTTATGAATGTTAATTAATTATTATATTTACATAGGATAAATTTAAAATTGCATAAATATTTAAATAAGTAAAAATCCTCATTTAAACTATACTAAGTTTGAGAAGAGATTTTAAATTAAAGTTAATTGTAAATTCCTAAGGCCTCCATGTCTAGTTTGTCGGTAAATCAATTAATTGCGGTTATGGGCTCCCCTCAGGTGACATTGCTAAAATTAATTGTAGAAAATTACCAGGATGATTTTAAATTAGAAGATTAGAGTGAGTCTTATGAGAGAGTACGGGCTTTCCCTCGGATTACGTATAATCGAATTCGTAAGAACTCAGGATCGAGATATGGGATTCACTTAGAATGCGAATTATTTATGACTTCACTCGGGGTCCCTGAATTTATTGCTTGACCAAATGGAGACCGACTATTAATTTTCGTTCGTCATGAATTTGGTTTTGACTTATGAAAATTAATGGGCCTTTGAAAGCCCTTCTCTTGCAAATGTTGAGTTGTGTAGAGTTTCCCTCGCATCATGCATTAACTCTCGGTATTTTGAGATGTCGGTGAATTTAAGTTAATGTTGTTTTGAGGATATCAATATTAGCAGTTAAATTCAAAAGTGTTTAATCTGTAAAATTATTTTCGTGTTTCTCAGATATTCATCATGTCGTTTAATCTGTTATCTGTCATGCTAAAAATCCACTTGCTAGTCCTAAACCATTTGATTGGAAGAGGAACTTAGACATTGTCATGCCGATCACCATGGCTAGGGACACTCCCGTAAGGGAACATGTCCAGAAGCTAATGGAGCAGTTCGCTCGCATGGAGTCTGAAGGTGCTCACATTCGTGAGAGCATCAAGGTTGACACTATACTCTTCACACTGCATAAGGACCTCAACTAGCTTTGCTACAGTTATGACGGGCTTCTTCAGAAACTGTTTGTGGCTGAGCTGATTGAGGAACTTGAGGCGGCTGAGAAGATTAGCCATGATGAGCGAGAGATGATTCTTGCAGAACGTGAGATGGCCTCATCCTCCAAGTCTGTAGGGATAAAGAGAAAAATGAGCTCTGTTCAAGAGGCAATGGAAACATCTAGAGCAGAGAGATCAGGACAGAAGGTCAACTGCCCTCTCCTCAAGAAAGGTAACACTCTCATTAATGTCGTAGAAACACGTTTAGAGGTTGTATCTACCAGAACCTGGTGTGTAGATACTGGAGCCACTGATCATGTCTGCAATTCGTTGCAGGGGTTCCAGGAAACCAGGCGACTTAGGGAGGGAGAGATCACCATCTACGTGGGCGATGCTACGAAAGTGGCGGCTGTTGCAGTGGTTTTGAGACATTGCCTTTATGTTCTTAGTTTTAGAAAGAATGTTGTTTCAGTTTCTAAACTTGTTTCAGATGGATTTTCCTTTACGTTTGATGACTTGGTTGTTATTCATTATGGAAAGCGTTTCATTTTTTCTGGTTCATTAATTGGTAATTTATATGTTATTAAACCAAACTCTTCCACACTGTAAAAAACTGAATTGAATAATGTCGTGACTAAATCTAATAAGAGAAAGGAATCTTCGAGTATGAATCAAGCATATCTTTGGCACCTTAGACTTGGGACACATCAGCCTTAGGAGGATTTAAAAGTTAGTGGCCAGTGGACTTCTCAGTCCATTGGAAGAGCACTATCCAACTTGTGAATCATGCCTAGAAGGTAAGATGGCCAAGAGGCCATTTACGGCAAAGGGGTATATGAGCCAAGAAGTGTTAGGATTGATTCATTCTGATTTATGTGGTCTCATGTCGATCCAGGCTATAGGAGGTTTCGAGTACTTTGTCTCTTTTATAGATGATTATTCGAGATTTGGGTTCTTTTATCTGTTGCACCACAAGTCCGAATGCTTTCAAAAATTCAGGGATTATCGGGCAGTTGTGGAGAAGCTTCATGGTAAAAGTATCAAGTCGCTTCGATCTGATCGAGGTGGCGAATACCTCTTTAGAGAGTTCAGGACATATTTATCAGAAGCTGGGATTGAATCCCAATTGACTGCACCCGGCATGCCCAGTAGAACGGGGTTTCAGAACAAAGAAATAGGACTCTTATGGAAATGGTTAGGTCGATGATGAGTTATTCAAAGTTACCAGATTCGTTCTGGAGATTGGCTTTAGAAACAATTGTGTATATTCTGAACATGGTTCCTTCAAAGTCGGTAGAAACTACTCCTTATGAGATGTGGAAAGGGCGCAAGCCCAGTTTCTCACAATTTCGAGTATAGTGTAGTCATGCACACGTGTTAGTGCAGGAAGCTGGCAAGTTGGAGAAACGTTCGGAAGCACGAGTGTTTGTAGACTATCCCAAGAGAACGAAAGGTGGATTATTTTATAGTCACAAGGATCAAAAGATGATCGTTAGCACGAACGCTAGATTCTTGGAAGAAGACTATATTATGAATCACAAGCCTGTGAGTATACTACTCTTAGAGGAGTTGAGGGGTGAAGTCGATAGTTCCCCACCGAGTGCACAAGTAGATACATCACATAATATTGCAACACGGCACACTGAGAGTGTACCGGTGTAGACAGTACCTCGTCGTAGTGGGAGGGTTTCTCAATTACCCGACCGATGGATAGGTCTTGGAGCGTTTAAGGGCTCAGTTCTAGAAAACCTAAAATCGGACCCAAGGACTTACAACGAGGCACTCGAAGATAAAGATGCAGATTCATGGAATGTTGCAATGAATGCTGAAATGGGGTCAATGGACTCTAATCAGGTCTGGGATCTTGTAGAACCACCCGATGGAGTACAACCCATTGGATGTAAGTGGATCTACAAGAGAAAGAGAGGATCAGATGGAGAGGTGCAAACCTTCAAAGATAGGCTTGTTGCGAAAGTTTATACCCAGATTGAGGGTATAGACTATGATTAGACCTTTTTGCAATTTGCTATGCTTAAGTCCATTCCGATTCTCTTGGTTGTAGCCGCTCATATGGACTATGAGGTATGGCAGATGGATGTCAAGATGACTTTCCTTAACGGAAACCTTCAGGAGGACATCTATATGCAGCAACTAGAGGGATTCATTACAAAAAGACGTGCGCTTCTAGTGTGTAAGCTTAATCGGTCCATTTATGGATTTAAGCAAGATTCGAGATCTTGGAATATTCGGTTCGATGAGGTGATCCAGTCGTACGGGTTCACTCAATGTCCGGATGAGCATTGCATGTACAAGAAAATCAGTGGAAGCGTGGTGGAGTTTCTTGTGTGGTACGTGGATGACATACTTCATATTGAAAACAGTAAGAATGAGTTGTCAGAATTCAGATAGTAGGTGTTCCGCGAGTGGAAGGAAGGCCGCAATAAGACTAGCCAAGAAAAGTCATAGGAGAAGGTAATAGAGCTCCAAAAAGCATTAATGACTTACTAGTTGAGCTGAAACGAGTACGCCTACTCCGAGGAATGGGCATCTAATTAAAGAAAGCGGACATCCGCCCAGGATAAATGAGAGAGGAATACAGCTTCTTTACTACCGGCATTCTCATTATTATAGTAAAGGTGTGGTTGTCTAAGCAGTTTGATATGAAGGACTTAGGAGAAGCAGGACACATTCTTGGTATTAAGGTCGTTCGAGACCGTAAGAAGAGAATGTTGTGCTTATCCCAGTCATCATACATAGAAACTGTATTGGCTAGGTTCAGCATGTAGGATTCCAAGAAACGTACCTTGCCTTTCAGGAAAAGAATCCCTCTCTCTAAGGAGATGTCTCCTAAGACGTCTCAAGAGATTGAGGACATTAAGACAGTTCCTTATGCATCGACAGTAGGAAGTC